TTAAGAATTTCAATATGAAGATGATCTATAAATGGATTGATTAAAAGAATATAGATTTGTTATATGCGCTATATTAGGTAAAATACTAATATTAAAACGATTAATAAGCAAATAACGATGTCATTATCAAGATTAGCAGTTAATTAAAATTATTAAGGTGATGCTGCTTAATTAAGAGATAAAGCAATAGCTATTCGTATTGACCTGGGTTCTACCATTTTTACATATATAAAGGGAAATTTTAATTTAGTCAATAATTTAGAATATAACCAAATTTTGGATGGATCCTGAAATCATATTTGGTTTTGATATAAAATAATAAATCATAGTTGGGATAGAGCTATTGAATATTTAGGATTTGTTGATTAAATAATTAGAAAGACAAATTTAGTTAATATCATCCAATAAACTTAAAATAACTATCATTAATTAGCACTAAAAATACTCTTTAGTATTGAAAATTGAGGGTTTCTTTAAAAATGAGATTTATTAAGAAAACAAATTCCCTCTAAACCTAAATTTCTGAGAAAACAAAGAAGATGTTAAAATTATAAAAAGCAAAGAATGCATATAAATAAATCTATAATATAAATTTTTAGACTCCCCTGTTGAATTTATTGATGAATTTGATTGGGCTAATGATTATTCAGTATCATTGTTCAAATGGACTTAAATATATAGGGTATCGTGGTAAAAAAAATGAGTTCAATTTCTTATAATGAATAAAATATTAAAGTGAATAATGTTAAACCTGAAGATAGAGTATTATTTATTTTATCTTATCTTAATCTCTCTATCCATTCTTTTACAATTAATCTCCTCTCTTTAATTATTTTAATTCTGTCTATTTATAAAAATAATATGTGTATTAATTTATTAAAATAAAATGATCGTGTTTTAATTATAAATCTTGCTTTATTTATGATTTTATTTAATTCATTAAATAAAATGTAAAATAGCAGTCTTAGGTATCTAATAATTGTCCTTCTGGCTTTATTTGAGTATTGTAATTTGTTATTAAAGATAAGCGTATTCAAACTGTAATTACCTAAGCACAGAGACAATTATATTAAGCTTATCTTATCCAGAACAGAAAATAGATGTTGAATTAGGAAGTGAGATTTTAAACTTTAAAGAAAATATTGGGTATGGTTTATGGGTGAAATATTAGCCTTTCATTTCAGTTTCAGATACAAGTATTGTATAATTATTTATAGATCTCATCAGGTTAATCAGAAATAAATCCAGCGCCATCAGGGTATTTCGTATATCTACTATAGTAAAGAGAAACAAATTTCAATTTGTTAACTTTTTATATTTCAATTTCTGATTAAACATAAACCCTTACTCATAATGTGTTTTATGCATTTAAAGAAACAAGTGGAACTTTAGTATTTAATTTTGAATATAACAAATATGAAGGAGAATGGATATTGTTTTATTTTTATATTAATTTTTTATCAGAATCCACTATGATAGGATTTTTTTAGATGGAAGAGAAAACTACAACTAAAACATAGATAGTAAATGACATACCTGTTCTTTTTAAAGAGATTAGGCATTAAATAGGAGGAAAATATGAGATTACAAATTAATTGGGAGATAATTTAAGTTTAAGTTAGTTTGTAGGAAGATTATCAACAATTTTCAGTTATGGATAAGTAAATTTATTTTAAGACTTGGAGGCATTTTTATTAGATTGTGCAATTTAATCTGAATGTGAAGAATCTACTTATATATTATCAAACAGCAATTAAGCTTTTTTAGGATAGAGCTATTTATTTGATATAACAAATGTATTCGAATATCCAATATATGTAATAAAAGGTTGGCTAAAATTATAACTATTCGAGAAGTCACCCCTTGATACTGTGATATTCAGAGTAACAATAAATCAAGATTACTAAGACGACATACAGATTGGAGATAAAGATATATATTTGCAATATCATCAGAATTCTATTCCAGAATTAAATGGATTTTCAATAACTACTTATTCGTACAATTTTCCGACTTCAAACAAATACACAAGCACAGATATTGATGTTATAAGCGATTTTGAAGAACAATATTTGGATTTACTTATTAAATGGCATTATATTTAGTACGAAATTGGAACAAATAATAACTTAGGGGAACCAATTTTTTAGATATATTTCCCATCTTTAATTATTAAGTAAAAAATTTTCAGATGGAGCAATTAGATCAAACATTTCACAGGAACAATTATGTATTATTATATTGGAGGGGATAAATAAAGTAAAAATTATTTGAAAGGATATATTAGTGATATGTAATTAATCTCTTATTGCAAAACTCCTATTATTACACTATCCCCTAACTGTCATTATTCATGCCTCACTTGTGATGGTCCTAATAGCAATAATTGTTTATCTTGTCCATTAAATAGTCAAAGACTTTAATCTGTAACCTAAAAGATATGCGCTTGCTAACAAAAATATGTTGATATTGCAAATGAACCAATTTGTAAACCAGTATAAGAAATCTTTCCATAAATGAAAGAGGTGGAATTGGAGTTATAATGTGATTCTCAAGGTTATGATGTTTGTACTGAAGAGAAAAGAGAGTGTTCATTTGGTTATTTCATGTATGAAGAACATTGCTTATAATGGTATCATATTAATAAATTATAGTCCTGGCTATTCATCATTAAATACAAAAAGTGTGATTTTGTGTTCAAATTGTTTGTTTTAACCAAAAGAATTTGAATGGAAATTGACTTGTTATCAAGATACATTCACATATAAGAATGATAAAGATTTTTTGTATAACACTATCAAAAGAATGGACAGAAATATAGAATTTTATTAAATAATTAAAAATGGAAATGGAGATTAAGAATTATTTTTACAAAAGGGATTTAGTGACTATGGCTCTTGTAAATAAGGATATTTTTACAGAGATAATTAATGTTTCCCCTGTGATAACGGATGTGGAACTTGCTAAAATTAATCGATTTGCGAGATTTGTTATTCTGGTTATGTTTTGACAAGAGAGTTTTCATGTACACAATGCCCAGGGTGTTCAGATTGTATAATAAATTATGAAAAACTTTTATGCATGACTTGTGCAACTGGAACATATCTGTCAAATGGGGTATGTATTCCTTGTGGATAGAACTGTTCGAGTTGTAATTCAAATGGTAG